CTCTAGGACTCGGCGCTCGCTCGCTCGCTCGCTCGCTGTAACCCCTCGGTCTCCGGGGTCGAGGGGTGGGAGAAACGTCTCTGCCCGCCTTGACGTATCCTCACGTGCAGCCAGAAGCACATCTCGCGGATTGAACGTGGCCATTAGGACCGGTGGCAGCATCTGGGGGACCCTCGGGCAAAAGGCGCGCCCCGAAGGGGAAAGAGGCGGCGGTCCGGGCAGCGCCCGCCCGCTGCCGCCTGGCGGAGGCCGATCTGCCCCGCGCGTCCTGCCCGGAGCGGGGTGGGCCTGGGCGGGCTCCGAGGTCCCCTCCAGGCCCCCCCCGAGGCCCGGCGCTGCCCGCGGGTTTTGCAGGTTGCGCGTTTGCACAATGAGGCTCTGGAGGATCTCCGAGTGGCTTCCACTGATGCGCAAACGGCGGATCTCTCTGCACTCAGAGGGCGCCTGGCCCGTGAACGGGGCTGAGGAAATGGCCCAGGAAACCTCGAGGGGAAATATTTAATCTCCCTGCAGGAGTAGATTAAAAGTCCAAGAAGCAACTTCGGAGGAGGAATGTCCTGACCAGACGAGGGTTCAGCCGAGGGAAGGGGAGCTCCCTCGCAGGAGAGGCCTGCAGGCAGGCAGGCAGGCAGGCAGGAGGGCCGTCTGGCCGAGGCCCAGCAGTCCACGCCCTGAGCGGGGGTCGGGCTGGATGGCCTCTGAGGGGCCCACGCCGTCCCGTTTCAGAGGCCTTGGCGCGGCCCGCAGGCCCCGCCAGGGGGCGCTCTCCTCGCCACCGAGCGCCACTGCGCATGCTCCGCCCCGACTGCCTGGCTCGGGAGGACCGGCTGTGAGTTGCGCCCTGGCAATCTGGGGGGCGGGCGGGCAGGAGGGGGTCAGAGCCTTCCCTGGAGGGGGCCCTACCTCTCTCCCATCCATAGGTAGAGCCTCCCCGGGCGTTTCCTGCAGCGGGAGGGGGAGAGCGCGGCTCACCTCCAAGCAGCCCAGGAGCCGGTGGCGAGAGGGGGGGACCTAGGACTCCCCGAAAGGGTTTGCTGGATTCTGAATCCCGAGGCTTGGGGGGAGGGGGAGACCCCCCCATTCCTGCTCCTGGCCTGTGCATGCAAGAGGTCCCACCCTGGGGGGAGGGAAGGAGGGAGGGTAGGAAGCCTAAAGATACAGCATGCTCACATTGTGCATAAACCAGGTTTGCTTCCCACCATTTGTAGCAAAAGAAAATCTGGGAAAGGGGATTTCCTGCCTGGCACTCTTCCACCCTCTCCAAAAGTTCCCATTTCATCGTGTGGGGGGGGGCTTGGAAAGGTCCAATTCTGTGCCTCAAATGTATTTGATGGCAGCGCTGGAAGGA